AGTAGGAGTCGCAGTAGTAGTAGTAGTAGTAGTAGTAGTAGTAGTAGGAGTAGTAGTCGTCGTACTGGAAGTCGTAGTAGTAGTAGTAGTAGTAGTAGTAGTAGTCGTTGTAGTAGTCGTTGTAATAGTAGTCGTAGTAGTAGTAGTAGTAGTAGTAGTAGTAGTAGTAGTGGTCGTCGTAGTCGTCGTAGTCGTGGTAGTAGTAGTAGTAGTAGTAGTAGTAGTAGCAGTAGTAGTAGTAGTAGTAGTAGTAGTAGTAGTAATTGTAGTAGCAGTAGTAATAGTAGTAGTAGTAGTAGTAGTAGTAGTAGTAGTAGTAGTAGTAGTAGTAATCGTAGTAGTAGTGGTCGTAGTAGTAGCAGTAGTAGTAGTCGTAGTAGTAGAAGTAGTAGGAGTCGTCCTCGTAGTAGTAGTAATAGTAGTAGCAGTAGTAGTCGTTTTAGTAGCAGTATTAGAGGTATTGTTCATATGTTTGCTACTACTGCCCCTACTGCGACTACTGTTATTACGCTTGCTACTGGTGCTGCTATTAGTGTATCCACTGTTACTACGACTGCTACAAGTCTAACAAACATTAGAAATAGTACTAGTGTTACTACTACAGTTACTATTAACACTGCGCCTCTCGCTGCTACGACCTGAACTGCGACGACGAGTACGTCCATCACGGATAATATTTCTGATCGGACTAGCACAACCACTCGCCTTACAACCACCACGACCACGATCGCTACCCGCACCACTACCCACCACCACTACTACAAGCATTACGGCTACTACGACGACGACGACGACTACTACTATTATTACTTTTACTACTACTACTACTACTACTACTACTACTACGACTACTCCTGCTACTACTACTACTACTACTACTACTGCTACTGTTACTACTACTACTACTACTACTACTACTACTACTACTACTACTACTATTACTACAACCATTCATCCCACCACTACCACTACCACTACCACTACTACGACTACGACTACTACTACTACTACTACTACTACTACTACTACTACTACTACTACTACTACCACTACTAGGCAGCGGACCAGCCTCCAGGCCGGGGCCGGTGCGAACGGACCGGCCTCCAGGCCGGGATTTTCCCGACGGTGTCCCTTAGGGTCGTCCACGGAGTCTTGTGGCGAAGTACGACTTTTAACACATAACAGCAACAAGCGAAAGAACAGCTCACATGTGTTTTGCACAGCTTGCCAGCTGTGCAAAACACATGTGAGCAGCGGACGCGTCCGGCTTGGAGGCCAGTCCGCCAGCCCCCCGGCCTGAAGGCTGGCCCGCTAGCCCTCAGCCTGGTGGGGGAGGAGTCACAGGACGAAGAGGAAATGAAGTGTGGCTGTGCAGTGGTCGTGGTGATGTACAAGTGAATGTGTGTATGTGGCAATGAAGTGGGGGTGCTGATGTGCAAGTGTGTGTATGTGGCAATGCAGTGATGGTGCTCATTCTCTTCATCGCTCTTCCCTTCCTGGGGCTGTAGTGGAGCTCCCTGTGGGGCACGATCCAACTGAGGACTGCCAGACATGAACGTAAATCTGAAGATCCCTGCTTAGGCGCGATCCTCGTGAGGGGTGCTCCCAAACGCGCATGGAACCAGACAGGGCCACCTTCTTTAATTAAAGCTCCCAGTGGGGCACGATCCTCGACAGGAATGCGCCGCCAAAGCTATAGAACAGAGCCCTGGCCTGGAGGCCGGTCCTCCGGGCATCCCCTGGCCTGGAGGCCGGTCCGTGGGGCTAGGAGGGAGAGGGGACAAAAAACGAGGAGGCCGAGGAGGAAGAGGAGGAGGACGACGACGAACAGCAGCAGCATGGGAGAATAGGGGAGAAGGAGGAGAAGGACGACCAGGAGGAGAAGTTGAAGAGTAAGAGAAGTAGGGAGGAGGAGAGGCGCTGAAGAAGAAAGCGGGAGGAGGATACCGCACTCGTTGGCGGACGCCGCGCTCCAATGGCGCCAGGCGCGCTCGACAGCAAGAGCAGCCGCACGGTGGCCGCTCAGGTGCCTGAAAACCAATTCGCCCCCACCAAGAGGCTCCCGGGGTGCACTGCAGGCGCAAATGAAGAACGAAGAACCCTGGCCTGGAGGCCGGTCCGCTAGCACCCTGGCCTGGAGGCCGGTCCGCTAGCACCCTGGGTCCGTGGAGCCAGGTGGGGAGAGAAAAGAACGGCGAATGAACCAGCTGGGGTAGCTCTCGTTTGAGCTGCAGCTGGAGCTTCCTGTCGGGCGCAGAAGGGAAGTGACAGTGAAGGATGGCAGAAGTGGAGGATGAAGGATGGAGGACGGGCTTTCTGTGGAGCTGCAGGATCCTCGTGACAGTGAAGGATGGCAGAAGTGGAAGTGAACCAGATTCGACCCCCCGTCGCTAAAGCTGTAGTTGGAGCTCCCTGTGGGGCACGACCCAAGTGATAACTGCCCGACATGGACGTGGAACCTTTGAGGTGTAGCTGAAGATCCCTGCTTAGGCGCGATCCTCGTGGGGGGTGCACCCAACCGCACATGCAATCAGACAGGATCACCCTCTTTAGTTTGAGCTTCCAGTGGGGCGCGATCCTCGCCAGGAATGCGCCGCAAAGGCGATAGGGAAGAGCCCCGGCCTGGAGGCTGGTCCGCCGGGCCCCCCCCCGGCCTGGAGGCCGGTCCGTTGGGTTCGGGCCCCCCCGGCCTGGAGGCCGGGCCGTTGCTTAATTCTACTACTACTACTACTACTACTACTACTACTACTACTACTACTACTACTACTACTACTACTTTTACTACTACTACTACTACTACTGCTACTACTACTACTTCTACTTCTACTTCTTCTACTACTACTACTTCCACTACGACTACTTTTCATGCTGCTGCTACTACTACTACTACAACTACTACTACAACTACAACTACTACTACTACTACTACTACTACTCCTACTACTACTACTACTTCTTCTACTACTACTACTACTACGACTACTACTACTACTACTAATACTAGTACTACTACTTCTTCCTCTATTACTATCACTACTACTTCTACAAAGGCAACCACCACTACTACTCGACGTCTATATTATTGCGCCTACTCCCTCGACTACGATCATTTCCACCAGTAATACGAGTACTACTTTTACCACGGCTAATACAACTACTACGGCTATTACTACCAGTGCACTACAACGACCTTCTACTATGTCTACTACTACTACTACTACTGCTACTACTACTATTACTATTACCACGCCTACTACTAGTATTACGAATACGGCGACTACTGCGACTACTACTATTATTACTCCAATCGCTACTACGACGTACCCCTGCTATGATTATTACTACTACTATTACTACGAATATTTCGAATCCGACTCTTATCCCTCTTGCTAGTATCCCTCCTTTATTTGGACTCCGACTACTACTCATACCATTTAGTTTTTTTGTTTTCAAACAAACAAAAACTACCACTGCTATTACTGCTACTAGGACTACTACTTCTACCACTACTGGTACTACGACTACTCGTACTTTTACTATTGCCATTGCTACTATCACCGCTGCCATTTTACCATGCTTTTTTTCGATTGGGACTACTACTCCTACTACATTTACTACTACTATGGCCCGTAGTAGTACTACTACGGCTCTTAGTGCAACTAGTGGTCAGAGTACCACTAGTACTTCGACTATTATTCCTACTACTACGGCGATTATTACTACCACTACTACTACTACTACTACTATTACTACTACTACTACTACTACTACTACTACTACTAGTACGACCTACTCCTTCTAGTACTACTACTATTCCTACTCCTACGACTCCTACTACTACTACTACTACTACGAATAATAGTAATACTACTACTACGAGTGTTCTTTTCCCATCAACAACGACTACTACGTCGACGACTACTTCTACTACTACTACTACTACTACTACTTCCACTACCGGTAGTAGTAGTAGTAGTAGTAGCAGTAGTAGTAGTAGTATTACTACTACTACATTTACGACGGCTACCACTAGGACTACTACGACGACGACGACTACTACCACTATTACTACTATGACGACTACGGTTACTATTACTACTACTACTACTACTACGACTACTACTACTACTACTATTACTACCACTACTAATACTACTACTACTACTACTGCTTCTACTGCTACTACTACTACTACTACTAGCACAAGTATTATTACGATTACAACTACTACTACTACTACTACTACTACTACTACTACGACGACTACTACTACTACTATTACAACTACTACTACTACTACTACGACTACTACTACTTCTACTTCCACTATTACTACTACTACTGCTACTACTACTACCACTAGTAGTAGTAGTAGTAGTAGTAGTAGTACGACTACTACTACTACTACGACTACGATTACTACGACTACTATTACTATTACTGTTGCTACTGCTACTACTACTACTACTACTACTACTACTACGACTACTACTACTACTACTACTACTTCTACTACTACTACTACTACTACTACTACTACTACTACTACTACTACAACTACTACTACTACTACTTCTACTACTGCTGCTACTACTACTACTACCACTACTACTACTACTACTACTACTACTACTACTACTACTACTACTACTACTACTACTACTAGGGCTAGGGCGCCGGCGTGGGCAGACCCGGATCTAGGTCGGGGGCGAGGGTGGGGCGAGGGCGAGGGCAAGGGCGACGGAGGCGGCTGAGTGTAGCCGCGGAGGCGAGGGGAGGGCCTGGGCATCGCTCAGACGTGCGTTGTTTCTCGGCGAGAACTATTGAGGAGCATCCTGGGCCATCTGTCGAAAGAGCAAATGCACGACATCGACAAGTGCACAGGGAGTAGACGTCCGAGCCGTGGCGAGGGGCGAGGGTGAGGGCGACCTCCGGAGAGAGGGCGGGCGGGCGGGCGGGGCGCTCAGAGCGTGCAGCTCTGCACGCGGGTGAGGCGGCCCAGGCTCCCTCTGGGAACTCGAGATCGGGGCTCAAGAGACGGGAGCCAATATGCAAACGATGGTCAGCCAGAGCGCCGGATTCTGCTTGGGCGCAGGGTCCTTCAGGGTCCTGCAACGCCCGACTGACCCTGGCTTGGATTGGCCCGGAGCAGTATATCCCCACTCCTAGGTTCAGAGAAGACCCATACCGCTATCCTCTGCCCGTTCTTCCCGGGAGGGTGCGTGGGATGGGGATGAGACGGCGGAGGAGGAGGACGGAGGAGGCGGATGAGGAGGAGGATGAGGAGGAGGAGGAGGAGGAGGAGCGGCGTGGGGATGTTGATGATGATGATGAGGAGGAGGAGGAGGAGGAGGAGGAGGCGGAGGAGGAGGATCAGGACGGGGAGGCTGGACGGGGAGGACGGAGGTCCTTGGGTGCCCCGCCCAGGAGAGATCTGGAGGCGAGGCTGGACGCGGCGGCATCGGAGCGCCCCAGCGCGAGCGCTTCTGTGGTTGTGCCCCCTGGCCTTCCATACAGTCGGACCGAGGCATAAGATCGAGGTCGGTTCGTGGAGGGTCTCCTAGTGTTCTTCGTGTTTGTTGGATGTTCTTGTGCATCCTGGGATGTGTACCCCTGGACGTTCTGTGTGTTTGGGCCGACGGAGGGTCTCAGGTTCTTGAGGGATGTTCTTCTGGCCCAGGTATGACTGTAACAACTCGCAGGTCCGCGCGGATTCCTCGGTTCCCCGCCGGGGCCCACGGCGGCGCCTCCTGCGCCGCCCTTGGCACGCTCCGCGCGCCAGGGAGAGGGTTCCAGCGCTGATCCGAGAAATCCGCGCGGACCTCAGAGTTTTGTCTTGTGTTATTGCTTGTTCCCCTAATCCAGGAGATTTCAAAAACGGAACCAGGACCTGTAATCGGAATTCAACAACCAGGACCTGTAATCGAAATTCAAGTAGAGGTTTCATCAAGTCCTGATAGGTTTGCATCGGCTTCGCGCCGAGAGGGGGGAAGTGAGAGGGGGCAGGCCTTCTCATAACCTCATTACGTCTTTAGTTTTGGTCCCCCCCCTGGAGCTCTCCGCGGTGAATAAACTCGTCCCGAAACTCGTCCGCTCCCGAAACCTCTCCTCCTCCTCCTCCTCCTCCTCCTCCTCAAAGTGCAGCTTTCGCTTTAGCGCCGCGCACATTCGTCATAAAAGCTTACAACAGTTTGAAGGATGGAGGGCTCGTGTTGTTCAAAGTGCAGATGTCGCCTCAGCGCCGCGCACATTCATCTTAAAAGTTTGCAACAGCTTTAATTGAGTGGTTCGAACACAAGATCGCGGCCGAGAACAAAACATTTGCCCGCTATTGTTCGCGCGGGCGCTGTTGCCTGGGGGTTGTTCCTCTCAGGGAATGATGCCGCATGGGCAACCCCACACGCGTGAGTATTTTTGAGGACATTCGTAAGACGGTTGCAATGTAGAATTGTTGTTCGGAATTCTTGAAGTGGTTCCTGCTCGCGCTGTCTTGGAGTTGTCTTGGAGCCATCATGAGCCTCTTGAAAGGATTCTGAAACCATCGCGGCCGAAAACAAAATATTTGCCCTTGTCGCGCGGGCGCTGTTGTCTGGGGGTTGTTCCTTCCAGGGAATAATGCCGCATGGGCAACCCTACACGCGTGAGGATTTTTGATGACTTTCGTAAAACGGGTGCTTCGAGGGAAACAGTTACAAGGATGGAGGGCGCATGTCGATCAAAGTGCAGCTCTCGCCTTAGCGCCGCGCACTCTCGTCTTAAAAGTTGGCAACCGTTGAAAGGATGGAGCGCGCATGTTGTTCAAAGTGCAGCTCTCGCCTTAGCGCCGTGCATTCTGGCCTTAAAAGTTTGCATTAGTTTCAAGGATAGAGGCCGCACGTTGATCAAAGTGCAGCTCTCGTCTCAGCGCCGCGCGCATTCGTCTGAAACGTTTGCAACAGTTACAAGGATGGAGGGCTGGTGTGGTTCAAAATGCAGCTCTCGTCTCAGCGCCGCGCACATGCGTCTTCGTCTTCGTCGTCGCATCGCTGTCGTAGTCGCAATCGCATACGTACTCGTTATCGTCTTCGTCTTCGTCGCCGGACCGCCCGAACTATAAGTATTTTCCGCTATTGTCGGGCGGGGTAGATTTTCTTAGTTGTTAATGAATTCGCCCAGCATATATTCATGTTCCATCTACCGGCCAGGGGATTTCTAAAGACTTAACGGGGTTAAGGCGGCGGGGGTTTGGAGAAGGCTTCGGAAGCTTCTCCGAAGACCAGAGGCCGTCAGAGCCTTCTCAGAAGGCCCCCTCTGACTTCCCCTGGGCGCGCCGCCGATGATCGGTCTCGAGGGCTGTTTTTAGCTTTCTGAAAGGGCAGGGTGGGGCGGTGCAGCTTGCGGTCGGCGTCCACGCCCAGATCATGGCGCTTCGCGCATCTCCTCTGCGCGTGTTTTCCTCGAGGGCCCAGCAGAAATCGTATGCACAAGCTGTCGCAGGTCCACGCCGAGTTCGTTGGGGCGGCGCCTCCGCCTCCTCCTCCTCATCCTCATCCTCCTCCTCCTCCTCCCTCCCCCTTCTCCTCCTCCTTCTGCTCCTCCTCCTCCTCCGTCCTCCCTCCTCCTCCTCCGTCCTCCTCCTCCTCCTCCTCCTCCTCCTCCTCCTCCTCCTCCTCCTCGTCCGTAGCCATTTTGGCTCAAGGGCTTTGTCTTGGCGGGCTGAGCCCGCATAGGCAGAAACGGACACCGCTGACACCGCGGCAGTGCGAGGGCGCTTGCGCCCGATCAGTTTCTTTGCAGTGCTGGTTCGCCCCAGCAACTGCTTCTCCACGGGGCTCGGAGCTCCCGAGCCATCCCATGTCTTCGAAGGCGGCGAAGCGGCGGCAGAATGAGAGTGAGAACTGGGTCTGTCGTTTCTGCGTCCACGCTGTCACGAAGAAGCCCTGGTTCAACAAAGCAGGGGTCATGTACTGTCGCCAGTGCAGCCTGCACAAGTCCGTGTGCTTCAAAGAGAATCTCAAGCAGTCGGAGTCTCCAAGCACTTCTACTCGGTCTGCCACGCTCGAGGCCAAGTGTGCGGAGCTTCAAGAGCAAGTCAGACAGCTTCAAGCAGCAAGGCGTTCTTCTCCTGATTCAGGTACTGGGAACCCTCCTCCTTGGGCTGCTGATGCTAAGCAGTGTGACAAGCGCAGCAGGATCAAGTACCTGGAAGGTCTCATCAAGCAAGTGGCGAGTGGAGGCTTTTCCCAGGACGAGGAGCTGCTCAGACGGTACCGAGAAGAGAAGTCTGCCCTCGAGACGGCCTTGTTTGCTGACAGACCTGTTGAGGAGCAGGCTCGCAGTTTGGCAAACCGGCTTCAAAGTGCTCGGCATAAGGAAACGCAGCTGCAGAAGGCCCGCGATGAGCAGCAGAGCAAGATCAGCGAGCTCCAGAAGGTCTTGGAGAGCCTCGACACGCGTTTGGTTGAGGCCAAGGAGGAGGTCCTGCGGCTTGAATGTGAGACGAGGGCAACCATGTCCAAGGCTCAGCCACCCGACGGCAGTGGGGAAGGGCCTCCTTCGTTGCGGCAAATGCTCCCCACGCTCTCTGTGTCGGTCGAGCAGCTGGGGGTGGTCGCTTCTGGGCTGGGGGTTCCTCCAGACCTCTTGGAAGAGCTGCAGGCGATGGCGGCCACGATCAAGAAGCTCGCCGAACTCCCTGCAGCGCAGCCACCCACCCCAGAGCCACAGCAGCAACCGCAGACGCCCGAGGAGCCCGAGGAGGACCCCGAGGAGGACCCTGCGCCACATGTTGAGTCCATGGACGTGGATGATCTGCGGGCTACTCTGGATGCAGCAGGGATACCTGCGCAACCCTCGGATGACGCCGAGGTGCTGCGTGGCAAGATCAGGAAGATGCAGACGAGCTACCTCTCCATGTGCAAGCGGCAAAAGCCGTCGGCCGAGTAGGTTCTCGCTTGTGTTCAATGTGCTCAGTGTGATGGTTGGAAGTGTTAGTGGAATGATGGTTGTTTCGGAAAGTGCAGGACCTTCCCCGCGAATGGAAGGAATATTGGGCTCGAGTGGCGACCGCTGTGTACTCGGAAGCGCTGGACCTGTTGTTGGGATGACTGGCACTGGTGATTGCGTGGAGGAGGCCAGCGGGAGCCCTTTCTCATTGAGTCGATGTGCTATTTCAGATGATGGTTCTAATTTTGCAGGGTTGGGACCTGCTTCTGTCCCATTGGCTTATGTGAATGCTGGTATGTGGAGTACAAGGGCTTCCACCAGTCTTTTGTCTGCCCCTGGTAGTGGGCCAGGTGCTGGGGCTTCGGCGTCGGCCTCCTGTTCAGGGACAGCGTTGAGTTCGGCGACTCGGCAGTTCTCTGCATTGGGAGCAGTTCTGGGTCCTGCCATCGTCCCTTCGCTAATGGAGGGCGACCGCTGTGCTCTCGGAAGCGCTGGACCTGTTGTCGGGCCGACTGGCGCAGGTGATTGCGTGAATGAGGCCAGTGGAAGCCCTCCCTCAGGGAAGGCTTTTATTCGGAGTACTACGGCTTCCACCAGTCTCTTGTCTGCCCCTGGTAGTGGGCCAGGTTCTGGGGCTTCGGCGTCGGCTTCATGTACCAGGACAGCGGCGAGTTCGGCGACTCGGCATTTCTCTGCATCTGGTGCTTTTCTGGAATCTACCTTCGTCCCTTCGCTTATGGAGGGCGGCCGCTGTGTTCTCGGAAGCGCTGGACCTGTTGTCGGGCTGACTGGCGCAGGTGATTGCGTGAATGAGGCCAGTGGAAGCCCTCCCCCAGGGAAGGCTAGTATGCGGGGAACTACGGCTACCACCAGTCTCTTGTCTGCCCCTGGTAGTGGGCCAGGGGCTTGGGCTTCGGCGTCGGCCTCCTGTTCCAGGTCAGCGGCGGGTTCGGCGACGCGGCATTTCTCTGCCCCTGGTGGTGGGCCAAGTGCTGGCAGTTCGGCGTCAAGGTCAGCTGTTTCAGGCGGTTGGGGGCAGCCCGCGGTCATTGCCCCAAACGATGCGGCTGATGGTCCACCTCTCACAGGTACGAGGTCGGCTAAACGTTGCTGCATCACGACAGTCAATGCTGGCTCGCATGGGCCGCTGTTTGAGTATCTCTCGGAGTACCAGGGCTCGGTTCTCTTGGCGCAGGAGACCAGAGTCGTGGAGGCCCGTTTAGGAGAATTTCAGAATAGGGCGAGGGATGCAGGCTGGCACGGGCTGTGGTCAGCAGCGTTAGAGACGGGCGAGTCGGCCATGTCCAACTCGAGTGGGGTGGTGGTCTTTGCTCGCACCAACATCACCATCACCGCCCCCCCTGACGGCAGCCATGTGATATATCCTGGAAGAGCGGTATGCGCCCACGTGCAATGTGGGGTCCCAGGTGGCATTGTCTTTGCTAGCGTTTACTTTGTGACGGCGATTGGCATGACTGGAGAAAATCTTGCTATACTTTGGGCAGTTGTGCAGAGGATTGCTCAGTGGCAGGCTCTGGG